TATCGTCCATTGCGGTCATTGCGGGATCAGACCGCTCACTACGGGTCCTGGACGTCGGTGCTGGTGGTGGTGGGCGCACTGTTCGTATCTTTCGTGATGCACATAGTCGCGCTGTACACACTGTAACTTTACCTCGACCGACATGCTACGCTAGTCATCCTAGTAACTTCTACGACCTTTTGTTAAGTAGCTGTTTAGACAGCACAATTCATTTGTGGGATATCCGAGCCGATAATTGTGTCATGCGCTTCTGTCAGCACAAAAACCGCGTCCACACGCTTGGCGTAAATTTCAGTCCGTGCATGCGCTACGTGGCCACAGGGTCAGAAGACCAGGCTGCGTATATTTACGACATTCGAACTGGTAGGCAGCTTGTTAGGCTAACAGGGCATACAGACGTTGTCACCTCTGTAGCTTTCAGTCCTCTCTACCCGCAACTTGCTACGGCTTCTTGTGATGGCACTATAAGATTTTACAGTAATGAAAAATCAGACTAAAGTAAATTGTGCGTATATATTTTCACGCAAAATGCATTTAAGCACATTGGACACAAGCTTTGTACCAACGGCAAGCCAAGACATTCAGAAGCTGGCCGGGAGATAGCCTTTGCCGCACAAACGTCTACTGCTTAAAATCTACAGTTGATTCTACCTTGTTCTTGAGAAAATCAGCCAATTAGTCGAACGATAGCTACACTTAAACACGCACAGCTGGAGAGTTCACAAACGACCCCTCCTCCATATCAGGATCGTCAACCTTGGCCTTAGAGCTGTCCATCAATCCCTTACGCTCCTTAGTGACTTTCTCTTCTGGTTCAATCTGCAAATCATCGTCTTCGACAGCGTGCTCGGCCTTGGCACCGGCAATAGTGCGTTCAAGATCCTTCTGTGCCTTGCGCTTACGCAATACAAAGGCTACCAGCGCAACAATTATGGCAATAATTGCAATGGTAGCAGTTCCAACAATTGCAACCTCATCCTTGTCAAACTCCTCGAGACGAGATAAAAAGTCTGTCTGAACTGCCTCGGTATCAGCGACACCGTTGCTAGCATGGATGTGCTTCATAGGCTGAGCAAGGAAGTTTTTACGCTGTGTGGGGGTCATGCACTCTGGCACCTCATCTTGGATACGCAGCCAGTTGACAATTTCGCCCTCTTCACGATGACCACACTCGGTCAGAAGCAATCGCTTGCCCTCCGGAATGAAGTTCAAAATAAACCGACCTTGCGTCTCATCTTCACCATTCTTAGTGCAATTGATGTAGGCCACAACGTGGTACGAAAAACGTCCATTATCTTCGGGCTTTTGCTCCACGGCATTCATGGTCATGTTAAAGGTGTCACACACATCCGTGTCATTGTAAGCAATAAAGGCGTAAAGCGAAGCCTTGATAACAAGAAGCGGAGGATCATCATATACGCTCACCCATCCTTCCTCATTGCGCAAATCAATCTTATCAATTTCGGCAAGACCCTCGGATGATCCATCAATAACACCCTCATTCTTAGAACCCTTAATCTTTTTGTCCTTGACACCAGACTTGTTAGCAGCATCCTGAGAATTAGCGGTGTCGGTAGCGTCCGTGGCCTCCTGCAATGCCTCATCCAATGCTTCTTCTGCAGTAGCAGCAGTTGCCCCAGCAGCCCCAGCAGCAGCAGCAGTCTTAGCTGCTTTGGCCTTTTTCGACTTTTTTGTCTTCTTTGTCTTCTTCGCCTTTTTTGGTGCCTTTTTTGGTTTGGCAGGAGTCTTATCAATGTCATCCTCTTGCACAGGGGCAGGTGTGGCGGCACTCTTTTTCTGTTTCTTTTTCTTTTTGGGGGTTGCTGCTGCAGTGGTCTGATCGGCAGCATCTTTTTCGGTAGCTGTTGACTCAATACTTCGGTCTTCACTCTCAGCTGCTGCCTTGGTTGCCGATTTAGCTTTCTTCGTTTTTTTCTTCTTAGGCTTTTTAGCGGGAGTTGAATCATCATCTGCGTTGGCCACAGCGGCACCTAAAGCACGAGACTTAACTGGCGAATGGATGATGGAGGCATCGACGTCGTGCTCACTGCTCACGGTCACCTGCTTGGCGTCCGAGGAGTATGGAATAGAAAATGACGACATTGCGGCAACAGCCAGCATTGATGCGCGAATTACTGTTGAGATACGCATTTTAAGCAGTTAATTTCTCGGGGGATACTCGCTGCTGATGCTGGGCTCGAGGGAAATTCGAGATTGATGGGGGCCAAGTCATGGTCGACAAGCCGAACGACTACGTCCGCAGAGGAAGTGGCCAATCAGCATGCGGTATGGGAGCTGAATTCAGGGTATGCCACGACAGAGGTCAAGCGTGATGGCAAACAGCTCAATACATTAATCGGTTTGTGCAGGGATTAAACACAACAGGTCTGCCATATACAGACATTAAGTAATTGGGAGAGAGGGGTGGAGGGAGAGGATCGCGAGCAAGAACAGGGGTACAGGATGTGTACAACAGGACGCTTTTGGACTGCAATTATAAACGTAAGATCAGAGTCACCTTGCTTACTCAGTGCTATAAACAGCAGTACCAGGCTGAATTGGTACAGTGAGCGGTATGGGCAGCTTATTAGTGTAGTCGTCGAAAAAGACACTGTCTTCGAAATACTTATCCGCGCTCATTAAGTGCAATTAGACTCACATCAGCCGCATCAAACTGTTGCTCACCATACCGTCGCATGTTGAGCCTTAACTATTGGCGATTCCAACTTCTCAAATCAACTTATCCTGGGAACCTTCATGATTCAGCAAACGTTATTGCTACAATTTAGGCGTCAGTCGCTAAATAAAATCAAAAGAAGCCGTGAAATTTGCCACAACCAAATAGAACGGTCTTCCGCTCTGTTATCTGCCCAGCTTTTACATGAACAAACGTAATGGAGCTGTGCTGAACGTTGACATGCATAAACGTGACACATCAGATTGTTTGCTTCACAAAGTGCCCAATCAGCGTAGGCTTCGTGGCACGGTCTTATCTACAGTAGGAATATTTCGTTATGACAAGAGCAATTAATCAGCCCAATCGCTGTAGTAGTGAGGCAGACAGTGAGTCACTGAGCGATCAGAGCAGCGGAGACTCCAACAGTAACAGTGATAGTAGTAATGACAGTGATAGGGAGGAGGAAACTGGGGAGATAGAACAAATTAGCGAAGGTGTCGAAGACATTGCTGCTAAGATGCTGTGTGTGCAAGCGGATATAGATGAGATGTGCAGCATGATGGCTCACATGGACGCTATCAAAGCACAGTTGCAAGAGCGATTTCATGCTGCACGGAAAGCTGAGGAAGATCGAATTGCGCAGGGTGAGATAGTGGCGACTGGTTCTAAGACCTATAAAGTGGTATGTGTGGACTCCTGCGTGCAGACGAAGCCAATATCTATGCAACAGCCAATGCATCTATCAAAACAGGCACCACCAGACGTTGCCGATGATGTAATCTCAGGATCCTTTGCTGCGACTTTGCCGGCAAATTATGAAGCTAAGGAGCGTGTCGAATCTAAAAAGCTTCAACCTGCTGGGTTGAGTTTGTACGATTTAGTGAAGGTACCACATCATGGCCTATCACTTAAATCATTTTCACCTCGCGCAGACTCACGCGCTTTAAATTCATCCCATCTAGGACAACACAATAACGAGAAACAACAATCAAAAAATCACCCGTGCATAAATGCCGAAGAAGACAAAATCGTGGGTAACTGGGGGCATGGTAGTGATAGCGATAGCGGTCGCAGGTCGCAGCTGGATGACAGTCTGAAATCAGCGAGAAACTTTTCGAAGCATTCCTATATTGATCGACTGTCGCCTCAATTGCGCCAAACGGACGAAAATTTGGCTTCTCTACGTGATAGCCTTGATTCGTCCACTGCTAGCAACCAGTTTGCAGTTTTACCTAATACAATTGAGCCGTGCGACCACAAGCAGGACGCCGCAGCTTTGCTCAGCAAAAGCAATATCTCACTACCGTTAATACCGAACGGAAATGTCGAAAAGTCAGATGAGCAGCGAGAGATGGAAGCTATTCGGTACCTTCTCTTTAACCCCAATGTTTAAAGTAATACATAAAGCACCTGTGTATTAACATACACCTGTTCACTTGCATACTTTAGCTTTGTTTTTTAGGAACAAAATACAGGATTGTCATACATTTCGGTGCCATGGCCGAGTTTGCGGAGATGATTCTCGCCCAGGTTTGTCCTCAAGCTCATTGTGTTAAATCTTATCCTCTCGATTTCTTTGATGAGTTCCATGCGTCAGTAATGTAGTTCTGACCTCTTGATGCCGTTGCTTGTATGGCTTTTGCCGTTTTAGCTGGTCGGCAATATCTCGACAGCGCTAATCCTCGTCCTCATCTACTTTAACTTTCTACTGTTCGAGAACTACCTGCGAATTATTGTTTGGGCTATCATGTGTAGTCAAGCACTGCGTCAGGCCAAGAACAATGTAATTTCAGTGCTGCAATATCTAAGTGACAGTATTGACGTGGACCGCTACGTATGGACAGTAAATTTGACAAAATGAAGCATAATTTGAGGCTGACAATTGTTGTCATGACTCTTGACTGCAGGGCTTTCTAACGTGCGTTTTCACTAAGTCGGCCGAAATATTTATTAGCCACCCACACGATGGTTCACGTCGCACCGCCAAAGAGCTGTTTCTCAACTATGGCATCTTCCTCTTCTCGCTTGTCGGCGCCGTGTCTATCTGGATGCGCATGTTTTCATGGATGTCTTTTTTTAATGTCATTATTGGTCTCTGTATTGCGGCGCTAAGCCTCATTAAAATTTTGGATCGACGCATTTTCTATTATCGCTTCTTTTTTTCAGATGATGTGCTTGTATCAATGCTTTTGATTCTCGGCTTCTTCATCACAGTAACCATTTTTTTTGTTGAATTGGTAAAAAGCAAAAATATTGACTGCTAATATTTTGTATGTGATAGGGTGCTTTTGTCGTCCTCTTTCTCGGCACCGAAAGCTACCTCGAAGGAAGTCGTGCAGCAACAGATCTCTCGGGTTGGGTTCAGGATAACTTCGTAAATGACGAGCACACACGACAGGTCTGGAGACAGCAGGTGGAAAATAGCCGCGCTATGATAGCCCAGGCCGTAAGTGGTGTCGAGGACAAGTATAACGATACAATGTGGTGGCCACCACTCAAAAGTCTGGTGAAGACATACTACCTGGATGCCAAATCGAGCGACGGGAACGTTACCTCGCAAACGTCATTTTCTAACCGAATCCACATTCCTGGAAACATGACGATCGTGCAAGCTTTATCGTTTGCGTACTCCAAAGTTGAATTTGTAAATCTAACGTCAGTCCAGCTGACCGACTGGACTTCCAAAGGACTTGATATAAGTCGAATTGCAGTGGGGTCGGTGGCTCAGTTAGTGTTTCTTATCTTCACACTGGTGATTGCATTTGTTAGTCTTGGAATCCGCTCGTTCTTTTTCGTTTCATCGCTTTTCTACCTACTATGTACAAACTGGGATCCTATCGAGAGGTTTGTGGAGGATTTACTGCCTATTCAAGTCGACAAAAGGCCTGATGTTGTCAGATCTCTTCGAAAAGTGATTGAGGGCGTCTTTTTTTTGCCACTCAAGATGGCAAGTCTACATGCAATTGTAACAATGGTTTCCTTTACCATCATGGTACGTAACTTTCGAAATCATGCCTTGTCGGGTTGATTGCTCCACTGCTGATTTCCTTTCTGTATAGAATGCTGACTTTATGTACCTGGCAACAACCGTCACCTTTTTTATCTCGATTGTGCCAATCATTCCGCCGTATCTGGTGTGCGTGCCCTGGGTTATTTCAATTGGACTTACGTCTTCTTTTGTCAAGGCACTTGCTCTTTTTGGGGTTCAGTACGTTGTTTTCACGATGCTGGATGAAATGCTTTACGAGAAAAGTATTGTGGCACTAAATGCCTACGTGTCCGCATTAAGTGTAGTGTTTGGTGTTTACGTGTTTGGATTTGAGGTCGGTTAGGAAACTGACGCTTGGTTTTATTATCCAAAGTGCCGATGTCAGCTGTTGTTTTGCTTGTTGTACGTAATTATGTAGGGTGTTATCTTCGGCCCACTGATCGTCTGTGGCGTAACTTACGCCTACGATGTGTCGAATCACGGCATTCAAGCTGCCCAAGACGAGAATGGCAAATTAGATGAGGCAAAAAAGGATAATTTGCTGGATACCAGTGATGGTGAAGAGTCTCACAGCACGACATCATCTGTTGCAGGTGAACACCAAGAAGAAAAGAACTCGATTATCTGTAGAGGGGATGAGGAGGGCACTCATTCAATGAATGCCAACATTTTCTCTAACGCAATGTATCGAGTAATTTCGGGACCGCTCGTTGATCGTGTTCGCCGACGTCTTTCAATCGATATTACCACCGAAGGGTCAGTGTGTGTTACTTTCATCGTTGAAGGATTAAAAGCCAGCCGAAAAATTCGCTTTGTCGTGAACAAGTCGTGGTCATTGAAAACTCTGTATGAAAACATCAGCCGAATGCTTCACGTTCACTCTGTAGAAGGTTGGTCTTTCTGATTTCATGTATGTCCAGTCTCATTTCTATTAAACACAATGCTCGTTTTCACTGATCTGGGCAGGTATATGTACGACGGATGGAATCGAGGTGTTGTCTCCAGTCCATATTATGGCTGATGAGCTATTGCATGTAAAAGTTCGACCGAAGCATCGGCACTACCGATTCTCAGAATTCTCGGACTCAAACTCGCGAGTGTCGTTGTCTGGTTGCACTCTATCCACGTCTTATCACGGGAATCGAATAGGCGTATCCTCTCGCCCAGGGACTCACAAAGGATCTCCATTGAAAGCTACATCCATATCGCCCCCTTCCGCAAAGTTGAGACGAAAAGGCTCATTGAGCCCTACATTTGGCATCACACATGGTGCCACCGCCGTGCAGCGTCAGGTTCACAATCGTTTGCGTCGCAAAAGTGGTGGAGTGGCAGGTTTACTCGAAGCAATGAATACGAAGACAAGAGAAAGCAACAGCGGAACAAATGTGGATACTGGGAGCCTCATCGAAGTTAATGTCGCGCCAAGATCGACGAGTAAATTGTCCTCGCGTGAAAAATTTGTTCTGTCGCCTGTGGCTTTATCAAAATCCTCGTTAATCCGAGACTATGAGATTTTGCTTTCCGGCGAAAACAAAGATACTTTAGACACAGAGGATACCTCCGATATCGTCAGTAATAAGGATTTATCAAGGTAGACGTAAGTAGCACGCTTGGTTGCCGTCTTGTTCACTTCAATCGCAACGCGGAGAAAGGAAAGCTAAAGCGGTACTTCCTCGACTTGCATAACTTAGAGGTGCCTCAATGTCAGCAATGGGCCAGATAGATTTTGAATAATTCGATCGATACATCTGATTTTCAAATATAAACCATACGTCCGAATGTTTACACCACAAAATAAAGGGTAAAATTTGATGCCCGTGCGTGATGAAGTGTTCTAAGCCATAAGACTCGCAAGTTGCTGCTTCTTTATCTTGAGCATAGCAATCTCTTCATTGATCTCATCGACTATATTTAAATTTTGCTCAATTGCCCGCTCTCGGTGAAGTGTTCGCAATCGATCACACACAAATACCCATGTTTCCATATCCATACGCTGTTTCTCCCGCATGGTCCGCTCTTTCTCCCAAACCCTCAGTTCTGCCTCTCTTTGCTCGCGTTGTCGCAAAAGTGTCAGCTCTCGACTTGCGATTTCAACACGCAAGGATTCACTGTCGAGATCTTGAGATTGCACGGACATGGCATGTTTTTGGCGTTTCACTGATTCGTTAAGGGATTGCTGCAAACTTCCTATCGATGTTGCAACAGTAGCGTCCACATCTAATCGCTTCTTGCTACTTCGTTGCTCATCATGAGATAAACCCGCACGATTATCTTCACTGCCATTTGACGCGAGTTCATCCGATGTATGTGACAGGGAAGCGTCCAATCCACTGTCCAGATGTTCGTGTTTCCTGTTCCTACCACGTGCATCTATCTCTTTCGAAATAACACGGGCTTCCAGCACAGTTTCAGGCAAGGGCTTGCTCGAATTTTCCCTGTAGTTTAGAAGCTGTCGAAACTTAATCTTAACTCCTGTTGAATTTCTCTGCGCACGATTGTTGGGAACCGCGTGCTTTGTACGGTATAATTGTAACACTTGCTCCCAAGTCGACTGTTCGGTTGGTAAGACTTCTCTGACACAAGCAAGTAAAGCCCATGTGTCTGTCTGCGAGTATCCTTCTGATCCCAGCGCTCGTCCTCCACGTCGAGTTCCCAAGGTAGAAACTTCTTCGCCACCATCACTGCTTGATGGCCCTTCTACTGTCAAGCTACTAACACAAGCTGTACCCTCGACTTTTTCTATCATGGCTTCAACATTCATTGTCTCGACGTCATGCTCGGCGGATTCCACAACATACGCCATCTTTTTTAATTTGGCTGTTATCGCCTCATGAATAACCAGCGCTTGCGTTACCTCCTCTCGTGCTACATTTGCCGTATCTTTTTTGAGCCAATGACGAAACTTGTTTTTCAGCGAGGAGCCGTCTCTGCTGGCTCTGTCGTTCGGCTCTGCATATTCCTTACAATATTCTTTTGCAACTTGATCCCAGGAAGATCGTTGTACAGGCAAGAGACGCCGAACGATGCTCAGAAGGGCTTTAGAATCAGCGAGTGAGAATCCCTCAGCGCCTCTTACTCTGCCTCCTCGACGTTGTTGAGACTTGCCGTTAGCCATTTTGGCTTCTATTAAGTCTAAAATAAGCCCAGCTTCCCGTACATCTGAACGGCTATCTAAACCGGGCTTATGGTTCCGTAATAGTTGCTTAAACTTGGTCTTAAGTGAGATGGTGTCACGTTGCGCACGTATGTTGGGAATTGCGTGCGTATTCCGATACTCTTCCAGCACCTCGTCCCATTCATCAGTAGTGATCGGCACAATAGTCCTGACGCAATTGAGTAAAGCAACTATATCCTCCTTGTGGTATCCCTCAGCTCCCCGGACACGCCCACCGCGACGCTGGGGCTGAATCTCGTACTGTATGGTGGTGCTCATTCTCGTTGCTTTCACTTTTCCTAACGCAGTTGGCAAATGTGGAATAATTGAGTCTCCTCCCCAAGGTGGTGAGTAACAGTGTATGAGCACAAATTGAAGAATGTGCTAAAAGAGCAGTAAGAAACAGTCAAGTACTAATGAGAATGTTTACCAGTCGGACAGCTGGATGGACCGAATAGAGAAACTGAAGATACGGCCAAACAAAAATCGATCTGAAAAAATGATTATTCTCTGGCCAACCTATAACATGTTCACTATGTAAACTATGTACACTGGTGTTATAAAACAATATCATATTTGGGCATATGTAATTAAAGCAAACTGTCTTAGATGCATTTCAGGTGCGTTTGTCTCAAAAGCAATCCGTTTTCACTTCTCATTCTAAATTTATAATGCAGTATGCACGATCAGTTAGGATCTGACTTGGTCAGGACACTAAAGGACATAACAGTACACATTATCGACGCTATCAGTAATGTTGAAGGCAACAGTAAGTATATCTTGTTTTCAGTAAAAAGGTGTTGCTTCATACACACTCCCAGCTTATGCATTGTTGGTCCCACAAAACCCACACCCGAGCCTTGAGACTGTCTTCGCTCTACTCCTTCACTCTTGGAAGGGTAAGGGACAGGAAGAAGTTTGACGAGTAAAGTGGCCAGGCCCCATATCCAATCAGATCACATCACTGTATCATAGTTCCCGCTAGCGATTGTAGTACCACATCCAGAACAATCATCTTGTGCATCTATTTCACACACCAAAGAGCCTTTGACACCTCATTGATAGCAGATGTGTTGCGTCATGAAGCTAGCACACCAGAAACACTCCTTTTAACATAGTATTAACTCCTAAAGTCAGTCACCGCTACAAAAGTCGACTGTTCGCGACAATGTATAAGCGCGCATGGATAATCAGATGACAAAGGATGTCGAATAAAGCAAAGTTTGAAGCAAAATCGATTGCATGTGTAGCAGGGTTGCTGTTCTAAACGAAGCACAATGATGTCGACAAATCAAAAGTGGCTGATTTCTCGATAAAGGTACATTTTTTTCCAAACGTTTTCATTTTGAGTTATATTAGCCCGATCGATGATAATTTCGCTGCGCAAGCCTCGAGAAAGACGATGAAGATGCCGCCGGCCATGTTAAAAGTTGAGATAGTTCGTCCTGGGAAGACATCTCATTTGGCATTAAAAAGTGATCATCGATGTGAGCTTGACGCTAACAAAAATTGAAAACTGCCTGTACAGAAACACAAGGATCGATTTCAAAGGAAATATGTAAATGATCGATTGCCAAAATTGCTCTTTTTTAAAAATTTAGGTGACAATTTGACTTTGCCCAGTTCATCTTAAAATCATTGCCAGATTCAAATTTTGCAAGTGATATAAGAACAACATGAAGAGCTATTTGATCACCAACACCGTGCGACCTCGTGCTACGTACACGTTAATGCAGCAGATCTGTCATATGAGCACGCGTCGAATGCCTTCTGAGAAGACCCTATCGTCGCTTAAGGCACTGCTAGGCGATCGACTCTCGACTGCTTCCTCCGTTCTAGAGGTGCGCTTGAAGCTTACATCATCTCGTTATTGCCAGTTTCATTCATTCCACCATCTTTCTTAATAGCAACACGGAACAGACGAGTCCTATCATGCCGTGGCTCCACCTGATGCTGTCGCCTTTGTCCAATCAACGAAAGAGGTGGTCGAAGTCGTCAAGATCTGCGCGGCAGCCAATACCCCCGTGATTCCATTCGGCGCAGGATCTTCGCTCGAGGGCCACATTTCCGCTGCCGAAGGCGGCGTGTCGATCGATCTTACGGGCATGAACAACATACTGGCCGTCGAGCCTGAAAACATGAGTTGCAAAGTACAGGCGGGTGTCACCCGTGAACAGCTAAATATGGACCTTCGGGCTACAGGCCTTATGTTCCCAGTGGACCCTGGTGCTAACGCCACACTGGGTGGTATGATCTCTACTAATGCGTCGGGCACAACTACAGTGCGTTATGGCAATATGAAGACCAGTGTAATGTCGCTGACTGCTGTCATGGCTGACGGACGCGTCATCAAGACGGGGTCCAAAACTCGCAAATCGTCTGCGGGCTACGATCTCACGCGCTTGCTTATTGGATCAGAGGGAACGCTTGGCATTGTCACGGAAGCGGAATTGCGTCTGTTTGGTATTCCAGAGGCTGAGAAGACGATGATCTGTCAATTTGATTCGATCCAAATGGCTGTCGATACGTGTGCCATGGTCATGCAGATGGGCATTCCAGTGGCTCGAATGGAATTGATGGATGAAAATGCTGTTGATGCAATTAATGAATACTCGAAGCTTTCAACTCCTGTGCGGCCTTCGCTACTAATTGAGTACCACGGATCACCTGGAGAGGTGGAGGAGCAAAGTTCCGTAGTTTTGGATATTGCGAAAGATTTCGAGGCCAAAGACATTGAGCTTGCTACAAGCTCTGAAGAACGCAAAAGGCTATGGAGCGGCCGCCATGCTGCGTGGTACGCAACGTTAAGTCGGATGCCCGGAAGTCGAGGTCTATCTACGGATGTCGCCGTACCATTTTCTCGTTTGACAGACATTATTGTTGAGACGCAGGCCGACTTAAAACAATCTGGCCTTTTTGGTACCATCGTCGGACACGTTGGAGATGGCAACTTTCACGTTATGCTACCATTTTACCCAAACGATACCGAGCTGATGCAAAAGGTTCGAGATTTTTCTGACCGTCTTGTGAATCGTGCGATTGAGTATGAGGGCACTTGCACGGGCGAGCACGGAATAGGCAATGGTAAAATGGAATACTTATTGAGGGAGCACGGCGACAGCGTTGAAGTGATGCACTGGATCAAGAGGGCACTTGATCCTAACAACATCATGAATCCTGGCAAAATATTTGATAGTAATCGGAAAATCTAAGCATTTGAAAATAAAAATGTTGTTGTACTTATATTTTTGAACTGCGAAGCAAAAACGAAATACGGCGCTTGTAAAAGAGACCAGACTATCTTATGCTACACAATCTTGCATTGCTTATCTGTATTTCTTATCAAAATCTATAAGTGAAGTTGCAGATTCTCTTTTGTCACCAGAAAAGGGAAAATTGAACAGAAATATGTCACAAATTTCATGACGTTTTAGGAGTGCGTGAAATTAGTTCGTAAAGTTGAATTGTATGAAGGTAGAGAGGGTCGTAACGGGGTAAGCTTTATACTATCGTGTTGACACTTCTATACAATGGTATGAAGCTCGCATTGCATTTTTGTGTCATTGTGAATTGCTATCAGTGCCGAGGTATCAGAATTTTTGAAGTTGAAAGGGGAGAGGTCGTTATAGAAGTGGACTACTAGCCGCACGTCAATAGATAAAGGCAGTTTTATCATCAGATTGGTAAAACGAATATGCGTTGTTTAGTCTGAAAACGATAGATACCTTTAAATACATAAGTCTATCAAGGTATTGATCGAAAGGTTCTCGGTTCCGCTTCCCGTTGAAGCGTGCGAAAACCCGTGTGTGAGTCATAGCTTCCTCTGTGCAAGGTCCACGAAACTCCTCAATTTATTTGGCAGCACTTGTCGTCAATCCCACGAACAAGTCCTACGAGAGCTGTGACCTTCGTGAGATTTAGAACGAAATTTTTGAGTAGCTGTCCACGGGACATCTAAATACGCATCAAAACTTTACGTCTATTGTCAATCATGACGGCGTCATCTAGCAGCCCAAGGACCAGATGCGGTAATCGGCTCGCCTGGAGGCATTCATCGGCTATGAGAATGTTTTCCCGTGACGATCCCATCTACAGGGGGTGGTGATAAAGCAAACGACACGCATCATGAGGCATGGAGCTTGGCAGAAACAAGAAGATTTTCACTATTAAATGAGCGAAAATGCATTGACCCATATTTTATGTCGTGCTCCATACGGAGCAGCAGTGCGTCATGCTTGCGGTCTCCAGGTTACGAGGACGTGCGCGAGAATGAGCACTATTGCGCAGACCACTGTGAAAGAGGCATCCTCAACACGGATAAAGTTGAAGCGGCAAACGCTGTGGGTTCTCGAACCGCCTTTCCCGAGTATAAGGTGCGCTTTAAGGTTTTACCCTTTCGTAAGAGGAGCAAGAGTCAGCCTGTCCAAAGTAAAGAAATTTTATTGCTGAAATGGGATCAGAGTTAAGAGATTTAATTGCTGCAATGACATCAGATCCTATTCAGATTAATCACATTTATAGAGTGTCTTTGAATAGCGCGGATCTCCAAGGGCCATCCACGTGAGCCGTATCTTGTCAGATGAGGTGGTGGGTGTCGTATTCAATGTGAAGAACATCTTCTTTGCTGCGAAGAACCGGCGAGATACACATATCAAAAAATCTAGAATGGTGAGGCGATGGACCTCAGCAATATCAAGTAGAAATTTTATAATCTGCTTACTGCTGAGTAGTTTCATCTTCGGTGTAATGGGGTTATACGTACTCTGGTATGAAAGAGTGGGTCACACAAGATGGTGTGACCGTTCAAAGGTGTGGATTAGACAAGTTGATGGAATTACACAATGGTGTGGCCACACCGTAACAAGAAGCCACTACGTGGCTGGACTGCCAGTAGTAATGCATATTAATTAGGTTTTACTAATTTATTAGTAAGACCTAAGGTTTTGGATATAGGCGGCTCTACCACAAATAAAACGGATAAATACAGGTTTAATTTTGAGCGGAAGAGTGTATTGCCTTGGTTAAGGTTTTGGGTACTCTGATAGGTAGCGGGTCGCGATTTTCTACACTTGTACTGGTTCTAAGTATAAAACGCAGCTCATCGACCTTGACCGAGCTTCCTCCAAGCGAAAGAGCTGCGGCAGCTCCTCTGCATGTAGAGAGCATGTGCAGTATCGCACAACGACGTAGTCAGTTCATTTCTTATAAACAATGGAAGGATGGATGGCCTCTTTTGCGACGATATAGTGTGGTGGGAACACTTTCGGAACACCCTAGTTAAGAACTGGATGATGACGTCCCGCATCAATCATACCAGCAGTGTATGACGTGTATTGCACTGTAACAGTCCTGAGAAGCGATCACTTCTTGTTCCCACATATTGGTTTAGCAAAGCAATTTACTGCAGATTTACAACTTTAATTCTTATCTTGAATTTAAAGTATTCAGCACTGACTCGCCTGACACGCGACACGAATTGTTACGCTATGATGAGAATCTCAGATCACACAGGGTATGTCCCTGGTCGACCACCAGGGAATAGGATAGACATATTGATCGGTGAGCGCTATGCAGTAGCGGACAAACACGTTTTAAATATCAAATTCTTACGAGCCCACCTTTCAAAAATCAAGAGAACAAGTTCAAAACTCACCGCTTTCATCGGCGACTTTGGCCGGCTTACCGGATCTAGTAAATTGCTTAAAATCTATAGGTTTCGACTATATTTCTGGCTTTCCATACACGCGTCCAGTAATGTCGACATTGAGATCTTTGTAAGTTGTCTGAGCTAAATAGCACGTATTACTAATATAAAGGTACCAGGACTAGCTAGGAAGACTGAGAAAATTTGGATTTTGGTATAAAATGTCGCCGCAATGATATCGGCAAGTCAATTCGTATCGACACTCCAAGATCAAAGCTATTTGTGGTGCTGTAAAAGGGACGTAAACGAATACATAACTATATATATTAAAGGCGATGGTCGTGGAGGAGTTTACTGTATAACATAATAGCGAACCAACAAATGAACCCATCTGACCACGCTCCGCGGTGATCCCAATACACAAGTTCCTCACAGGATATCTGCGGCTTTGTGCGGCAAGGTCAGTGGTTGATAATCTGGTGCCTATTACCTTGAACACTTTTTTCTAAAACTCCGATGTGAAATACGGCTCTTTTCCAATACAATGGTAATGGAAGCCATGTTGACGAGAGATGTTGTTGAGGAACAGCTTGGTTGTATACCCACCAGTCACGGAATAGCTGGCTGCAGCTCTACAAGCCGTTTTCTTAAATGGTTCATGAAGACCGAAATGTCGGTATTAACGGACGCGTCGTTTATAAGATCAACTAAGGTCATTCTTATGGTCTGCCAACATTCTACCAGAGCTTGCGGATTTGCCGACTTCACCCACGCATGCGGCGAGTTTCTAGCTTGTTGACCCATTTTGAGCTGTGTTGCCATCGAAAGATAACCCACCAGTCTCGTACAGAATTTTACACTTGATGTCCTCCTAAATAGAAACCTAAGATGTTGTGTGATGACATGTCAGTGCTGTAATACAGCAAGTCTATGGACAGAAATAGCAACGCACACATGCAAACAAACGCTTCGTACAAGTAAAGCCTATCTTTAAGAAGCCCCCTGCTTTTGAGCGGTTTAAGCAGTGCAACATCTGTTGCCAGTGACCAGAACGATGTTCGCTTCGCCTGGTCGATGCGCGACATCAAAATCATGACATGCGACAGTTTGTAGTCTGGATGTCGCACAAGCGTAACCATCACTGCATTAAGCCAACCCGGTTTACACCTTGCTATCCTACCGTATTTTGTAAGAGGTGTGGTGACGTCATCTGTGCCAATGGCGCGTGTTCTGTGCAGACCATATGGCTTAGGACTAAACAGGTGCATACCGAACTTGACAAGCGCATACTTTGTAAAGTCCCTGCCGCTTTCAGAAAGCGACGCGCAAAGATAATGACGTGCATATGCCAGCAACATCAATAGAAAAAACGCACAGCCTACGGTAAAGATTAAAATGTCTCAGACAACCTGGCTTGGTCAGAAGCACATAAAATGTTTCTTAAAATCATGAAGATCGTCTCTTCTACCACACTCTAGCTTCATTCGAGATATATTTAAAAAAATGTGTGAAGCCGGGCCACACCTGCGCAATACGAACTGTATTTCTTCCTGTAATTGTTAGGCAGCACCGCTTCTTTACGACCAGCTGAAAAACTGGCACTGTCAAACACATTCACCTTTATCCTTGTGAAATCTGTCTACTAATCATGCTTTTTCATGAAGCATTACAAAAATGGATTTTGCGGCGTCAGACACACATGTGACTACGTTGACAATAACCTGCTAGCATGCACTTCGGAGCTAGAAGTTTGATATAGATTCCCCGTGCTTCGTACGACGCCGGACAAAAATATCGTCAAATTTCGTCTGCGCGTGCGTACAATGCGGCCTAAATAGCTGCGTTACCAGACTTAAAAACATAGATGGTGCGTTAGATAGCCCTTGTGGCAAATATAGCTACTCCCAGAGCATCATTTTTAAAGTACTCACTTCAGTCACAGAGCAATTATTGTATTTTATTGCAAATGACAACATTCAACACCTCAGTCTCAGATAAGTGCAGCCGACTATGCTGTTTTTTTTTACGCCAGGATCATGAATTAGATTAACTTATTGTTAATATTCTCAAATTACCATTATCCTTTATGGCACAGATAGTCGGCGTCAAGTGAGAAAAATTACTCTTTGACTCACCGCTTTACGTTTGCGCAAAAGAAAGCATCTTTGCCGTCACACATTTCCTTTGGTATGGGCCATTGACAAGTGACGCAACATTCGAACCCAGGAATCCAGGCGATTTTGTGACGCCTTCTCCCATCCTGGCGTTACATGCGTGGTGGTTCTTTGTGACATTGCCTCGACAAACGATAAGATGGTTCAGTGAGGGATCCGTGGGATTGCTGAGGATGGATAATTTAGATTATCACACTCTGTGTTGTTTGAGTGTCCTCCGTAAAACTGGGAGGGATTAGCCTATTTTGTTGACTTGATCATTCTGCAACTCTTGCGCATATCGCTTACCAATCACTTCTTCAGCATAAAATGGGATTTTATCAGGGGCAGCGTTACAACCCTTAGGAAAACCCCGGTCGCTTTGTCCACGAGTGAGTAATCTGTCTTCCAGCAAATACGTTCAGCTTAACTGCTCCGAATAGTACTTAGGCCAGAAGGCACTGATAACTCAGTGGTGCCGTTTTATCGTGACAGACATGAGTCATTCTCTCAGAATAAGTAAGGTTTTTATTACCCCACCATATATACTATAGAAATCACGACATTGAAGTGTTTCTTCTGCCTTAACATATTAAATTGTAATGACCGCGACATACGCTTCCATGTTTCTGTTTTAATCCTATGATCTCAGATCGCTGCTGCATCTGCCTTTCGGATTCTGCATCAGGCACTTATTCAGGAGCGACATTGTTTATCGTCAGTAGGGATAACTCCATTGATTTGAACAGTAGCTATTCTAGCTTCGTTCCTGTGCAACGCAACTCTGGTAGCCGGTAGTATCACAGTTCAAATATCTAATAGACGATGAGTGTGTGCACCAAATATTTTCAAATCCAGAGCTCGTGACGCTTCGGCTATGTAATTCTTTGGATAATATTTAATCTTAAATACAGGTTTAGAACAAGACATCAGTGTATGTATACATGTCAAACTTCTCAAGGTTGCAGGCACGCTCGACACTTTGACTCGTGTTTCCAATGAAGGAGGCATGGAGTCTATCTGCGTTTTCTCCAGGTCTAAATTCAAAGCATACTCTAGCCTATGTTACGCAGTCGCGCGGATAATGTACCTACATGAATCATCTAAATCAATGTCAAGCCTTATATCGGCTATACAAAGCCAGGGATGGTGATGTGAACTATTACGAACCCTGGGTCTTTAGCCCCACCTCTCTCGAAAATGTTGCTCTTGCACGGCTGGTCACATTGACCACGACCTTTACGATGTACAAAATAGCCGATTTCTTTCCTAGTTGACACAGGGCGGCCTACTGGGACTTGACAATTCCCCGCGTGGGGCTCGTTGGACGAACTTGCGTTCCTCGGCCCTTCTTGCCACGAGAATATAAGCTTACAAGGCACAAAGGATCTGTACTACCAATCACCTCAGAAGAACTTGATGCAAGCTGGGGCAGTTCGGAGTTTCTTCGTGAAGATGGTAGAAGTGCCAAGCTTTGACAAAGATTCTATCTAGATTGGATTCTGGATACAGTCGACATAATTTTGCCTTCTTGATGATCTTCTTTCAGAAAACTTGAGGTCGCTTTTGAGGGAAGCACCACCGTCACCCACCTTTTTCAAAGTGGTAAATGCAGCGGGGCTGTCGTAGCTTTGCGCTTTGAGAAAGCGTAAGTTAGGTCACCGACCTCTCGTTATATACTTAGAACAAGTACGAGTTTAGCGGATCGCAATCTGCTTATTCCAAGATTAATCATAGTCTTAACCCAAGGCTTATTACCTCTTCAAATTTAATTTTCATTTATTTCTATCTGCGGCAAAACCGCCAAATTTTAGATGCATAGATTCTCTTAAAATTGTATAGTAAAATCTAAATACATGTATAACTACTGGCTATCCAGCCCCGTACCGTATTCTTGTTCGGGTGTGGTCACATCATGCCGATCTCGTGTGACACACACCTGTTGCCAGGGTATGTACAACCCTGTTACACTCTCCCCCATTAAGATTGAGAACATTTACAGTTTCAGTCGGTTATTGCCTCACCGAGGCTTGCATGCCTGTTTGACACTGCGTTGGAAAGAAACGAATTCCGTGCTCAATGATCCCTGTGTCAATGACACCGAAGTCTCCAAGTCTCGCTGGTTCCGACAGCAACCACGGGCAGAGCCCAGCTTTATCTCCCGCAAACGGTGCCATGTCGAACCGTGTCTCCGCGGCATCAAGGAATGTAAATCATAGGCTCGATGAGCCCGAGCGTGGCGCTCCACGCACGCTAACGGTGACAAGTGACCTCGTTGGCGATCTGGAGGAGGTCGACCTTGAGTCTTACACTCCTTTTCCCGGATGGAATGACGCAGAAGGCGAGCCGCCCCAGCGGCGTGAGATAAGCCCTGCTCCCGCCTTGCGGACCCCATATCCGTTTCTTGACTTCTGGTCACCTGAGGAACGTGGTAAAATCACCAATCACCTTGATGAGGCACAGAAGCGGCAGCTGGATCTGACCAGTAAGGCGGCTCTGATGCGCGCTCATCCACGGTCGGTCATTGACCTTCGTGTGGAATATGGCTTCCGCTCGGCGGGTCCCGCTATAAAAGCGAAGGACGTGGTAACTCGATCGTTACGCCCCCACCTCATCGGGCACTCGGCTAGAACGGAAGATGAGCTTGCCACATGGGAAGCTTCTCGAGCTCGTTCCTTGGTCCCACTAGAAATTTCGCTGGACGTTTATCGCACACGTCTACGTGCTCAATAAGGTGGTTCTTGCGTACCCACAATGCGGACTTTACCTGTAGTGCTCACCCCTGGCTAAAGTGCTACAGATGACGAAGCGCTCTTTGAGCGATGGGTGCAGCGGCACCGAAATCTTTCCTCACTGAATGCCGTACAGCTGAGTCACAAGGAAGTGAACGTGCGTGTGGAGCGAACCTCCGATTTGAGTTTGCCAAACTCAAGGCACGCCGTCGACTTCCTTCAAATTTTTGCCCTGAGACGTATGGTCCGCGAGCTCTGTGTCTGCGACCGCAAGAATTCATGGCCCTTCAAACTTCCCTGGCTATTGCCGGGAAGCGCGGGTCGTCCTGATCTTTCTGATCAAAAGCGTCCACGGCGTCTGGGCAATCTTGCTGAAGTGGCGTCTCAAACTCCAACAAATTTTCGGAGTCGGGATATCCCCGCCACTTCACCAGATATTGGGTCTGACCCTGGTGACGACGTCGTCTTACCAGACGTTCCACGTGATAGTGGACGTCACCGTTATCATCGAGTAGAGTCAGTGGAAGGCATTGACGACCGGGTCGACTGCCGTCCAGTGACTCGTGACGCTCTTCGAGCGCTTGAGGTCGAGGTCCTTTGTGATCGGAGCTCCGCTGAGCGTCATGCTGAAGTAGCATGTCGCTGTGCGGACGCTCTTGACGATTTATAGCACGTCGTGCGCCGGCTGCCTCGCCTTGAGGACTACCGCTGTCTGTCGGAGCGACTTCTAGCTGTGGAGCAGACAAATGCATCGCTGCAAGCAACGGTGGATCGCTTGGCTCCATTGGAAATAGAGGTTGTTGCATTCCGTGCTCAGAACCAGTTGCTGGTTCAACTTCTGGGTGGCCGCGGGCCCGTGAAATCCGCTCCGGCGCCAACGCTTTCGCGTTCACTTGCACCGGATCCCGGAACGGCTTGAGCAAGCCCACGTGAAACACCG